AAATAGCCCGGCAAACTATGTTCCTGGGGTGGTTGCCAAGTGGGGAGCTTGAATATACTGATGAGCTCATTGGACATTCCTTTTGTCTGTTTGCTTTTGTTTTGGGGCCACACCCAGGAATGCTCAAGGGGTTACTCCTGCCTCTGCACTCAAGGATCACTCCTGGTGATGCTCCAGGGACTACACGGAATACTGGGGGTTGAACCTGGGTTGGCTATGTACTGAGAGATAGAGAAGCAAAAGCAGGGCCATGAGAGGCTCATAAAGAAACCAGAGGAAGCTAGGCCTAGGTTTCGGTTCCAGAATTCCTGAAATTGAGCACAGATACCTGGAATTGAGTCATGATTTCCCCAAAGTGAGATAGCCATGGTGAGGTCAACTAAGGGTTACCAATCAGATGCAGGTAGGGAAGCACCCCTCCACCCCACCCTATGTAACTCTTATGTAACCCTTATGTAACTCCAACTTATAACCAGTCAGCTAAGTACAAGTAGTGGAAAGCCCCCCAGACTGCAGCCAAAAAGGTGGTCCCATTATATAACATTATATAATGTTATGGCATAAAAGCCCTTCTTTTTTTTTTTTCTTTTTGGGTCCACCTAGCAATGCACAGAGGTTATTCCTGGATATTCACTCAGGAATTACACCTGGTGGTGCTCAGGGGACCATATGGGATGCTGGGAGTCAAACCCGGGTTGGCTGCGTGCAAGGCAAACACTCTACCCACTGTGCTATTGCTCCAGCCCTAAAGTCCCTCACTCTTGAGACTCTGGGCCACTCATTCCAAGAAGGCTGCCACTGGATTGGTGAGCCGGACAAGGGCCCTAGCTCGAGCTGGCTGAGCTAGCCAATAAAGACCCTTTGCTTATTGTATCGCAACTTGTCTTCATGTGATTCTTCTGGGGAGATCTTGGCCTGGTTTAACAGTGCCAGGTGAGTGCTCTACATGTTGTACCATCTCTCCAACTCCAGGGCTGACATTTTTATTGTGGCCTTTATTTGAGCCATGAAACCTCTTCTCCAGGGATCCAGCCAAGCACTGGGCCTGGAATTCTGCATTTTAGTGATTTTTTTGGGAGGGGGGAGGTGTCTTCTCAGAAGAGTACTGTGTCTCCAAGGCCTTCATGTTGACTTTCTGCTGATTTAGATAGTGTTTTCTCCCCAATATTCATTGTCAGCTCCCTCCAAACCGGCACCTATCTCGCACCCATCAAAGATCACCAAGAGAGAATTCACCACCAGGTAAATGGAATGATAACCTGGACACCAAGTCAACCAATTTTGTCCTGGAATAATGTAGGATGAGCTGGTCTCTGTCTTATCTCTATCCCCCAGATACCTTGTCATGGCATATGAGCTTCAAGGTCAGAGAGCCAAGATGTAATTGTAATGTAAAAACCTACTCCATTGGAAAACAAGCCATAGCACACCAGACACTATGGTCCCTGTAGCGATCTTGATGTAGGCAGGTAGAGAGGGAAAGGCCCTCAGCAATAAAACTTAGGTCAACAGAACTTCTGGGAGGAAAATCCTAAGACTGATCCACCCTATGGATGCAGAAAACAGAGCTGATTAGATCCCTCAGCAGACCCTGAGAAGATTGGACCCCTCCCCAAGAAGTTCCTCAAACCCTTGGATCTCTCCCTTAATCTGATTAAAATGTGATCCAGACCCGAGAAGAGCCTATAAAAGACACCTTGGACAAAGGAAGGGTGCATATATGCTTCCCGAGCCCGTATGCCGTTTGCGCCCATGGGGCTGAGCACATGTGTCGCCTGCATTTCCCCTCTTGTGATGTGAACTTTTATGCTTTCCTATCTAACGATGGATGTGTGTACGGGTTCTCTCCACCCTTGGAGAAGCCTGTGTTCTCACGTTACTCTGTCTGTCTTACTCTCTCCAATCTCTCCCACTTTCTCTTCCTTCTTCCCTTCAAAAATCCTCCAAATAAAATCTGTTTTACTTCACTGCTTGTCTACTCCTGAAATTCTTTTCTTCAAATGAGACAAGAACCCAGTAACCCTTGGTCCCAGGTAGCAGAGGCAGACTGGGAGAAAGTGACAGTCTTCTCCTCCCGACTCATGTGAGCCACTTGTAGGGTCCATTGACATAAATCTCAACCAGTCACAGCACAGAAAATCTCTTGGGCCATTTTTCTGTGCACAAAGGATTCTTCATTTTACTTTCAGGCATTTGGAAGTAGAGGCACTTCACCTTCTTCTCCTCCTTCTTTTACTCCTCATCTTCCTCATTTTCCTGCTTCTCTTTCTTCTCCTCCTTCCTTCATCTTTTCCTCCCTCCTTTTCCTCCTCATGCAAGGCCAACACCTTAACCCATATACTATCTCTCTGGCCCCAAGAAGGGCTTCTCTGTGCTGAACACAAAGACAAAATTGTCAATTACTTAAGAACAATTATGAGTTAATATCTCAGTTTCTAGAAAAAAAAAGATTGGACATTTTACTCCTTGGTAGGAAGCTTAAGATGGTTTTTGTTGAAATATAGCTCTAAACATTTTAGACTTAACATTGGTTTGTCCTTTCTCCCTTTCCACAGGGATCTTAGGTTTATTGGGTTACACCCATCACAGTGCTCCCAAGTCACTCCCATTCCTCTGTGCTTTTCTGTAACTTCTCTGTTCTTTCTTCCCCAACCAATCTATCACCTTTTCCCCCTAATCGGACTCAGTTTAACTTGTAGATCAGATCTTTCTAAGGACACTTGACTTGTATTCATGTATTGCCTTTCTCTTCTCCTTATGTCTTTTGCATAGTTTACTTTAAAGCGATGTCCTTTCTGACACAGGAAGACAGTTAATATTATGCTTTTGTAACTTGGGAGTTAGTTAACCCTGAAGAATATTCATTCCTGGGTATCTGCTTTCTCGACGTAAGCTTCAGTTGCCCTTAGTTCCTAACACCCTAAAAGCAAGGTCCCGACGAGGAACTGGATGTACCCAGGGCAAGCTGTGAGTTACCCTGGCATCAAAATGGGCCAGGTCAAAGCCCCACAATACTCAACTATAAGTTAAGAACATGGTCATGGATAAATGCTGTCATGATCCAAAAAGTAATGACGAGATTAGGACCCTGCTAGGATTAGGAAAGACTAATCTGTCCTGAGCACGGCAGTCTGAGATTTATAGCGAGATGGCCCCAGGAAGAGCAATTTTATAAGCTTAATGTATCTCTTACTGTGTCCATACAAAATGATTAATATTATGAATGTATGTTTGTTGGACAAGGAGAGGAGAAACAGAATCATGGGATTCTGCTCTTGTGTGGTCATCCTGCTGAATGAAAATCTGTCCTAGAAGAAGTTTCCCCTGAGGGAAAGATTTACCTCTGTTGATTGTATAACCACACCTATGTGTAATTACTACCCCAACCCCTCATGCTTTGGGATTAAGTAGGCTGCCTCTTTTGCAAACCACAGCACCCAAAAGGAGAGAGAGAACAAGGGGGAATGCCCTGCCACAGAGGCAGGGTGGGATGGGGGGAAGGGGGGTGCGTGGGAGGGATCCTGGGATAGTGGTGGAGAATGGGCACTGGTGGAGGGATGAGTATTCGATCATTATATAACTGAAACCCAAGCACAAAAATTTATAAATCTACAACTGTACTTCATGGTGTTTTACTAATAAAAATCACTAATAAAAATAAAAGATTGGAATAAACTGCAGCTGACACCAACCAGCCTGGCCCTCATTCCTTCCTTTGCCTGCCCATCGCCATCCGTCTTCCCAGGGTGGAGGAAGCAGCTTGGCCTTTTGTATTTTATTTTTTGAATACACAGTTTTAATAGGAAAAAGCATGGTATTTGGTCCACTTGTTCACATTCATTTTGGGGAAGGAACTTGGACTATACTCTGTGGTGCTCAGGGTTTAAAGGGGGTCAGCCCATACAAGGTGGGGATTTTAACCCCTGTGCTCACTCCAGGAATTGGACTCTGTGCTCAAGAGTGACCTCTGGTGGTGCTCAGAGGACTATAGGCAGTACAGATACTGCAACTTTATTGCCTCTTGCTTTCATGAGTTTGGACTTTGAAGTCAGTGCATTTTATTCTCTACTCTTACTGCCTGGCCCAAAGACACACGATTACTCTGAACCTTAGTTTCCTCACCCTTATGATAATAGCTTCCTTAGGTAAGTATTGCAACATTGAAGTAATATAATTATAAAAGAATACAATTGCACGAGTTAGGGAAAGTTTTTAAAAACTGGTAATCAAGGAACCACTGGGGCTAGGAGGCAGGTGGTTCCGGCCATCTCTATAACTACTGACTATTCCCTACAAAAAATAGGTACAGCTAATAGCAAGTGAACGTTGATAGATTGGCAGTCCGACTCTGATTTGTGTTCTGCCAAATCGGAGAAAGAGAAAAGGAAATGGGAAAATGGAAAGAAACAGAAGGCAGAGGGCCGATGGGAAAAATTAATAGGAAAGGGAGTTGTAAAAATTTGCAGAAGAGGGACTGGAGAGATAGCCCAGTGGGTATGGCGTTTGCCTTGCACACAGCCGACCAGGGTTCGATTTCCAGCATCCCATATGGTCCCCTGAGCACCGCCAAGAGTAACTCCTGAGTGCAGAGCCAGGAGTAACCCCTGTGCATGGCCGGGTGTTACCCAAAAAGCAAAAAAAAAAAAAAAAAAAAAAAAAAAAAAAAAAATTTGCAGAAGAAACGGAAAGGAGAAAGCAGCTAGAAGAGTCAGAACTGAGAACGAAAAGTCTTAAGGTCACAGCTCTCAGAAGCAGCCCAGAATCCGGGTGCTGGGGTGTCTGTGTGTGTGTGTGTGTGTGTGTGTGTGTGTGTGTGCGTGTGTGTTGGGGGCGGGATGGGGGGAGTGGGGAGACGAGCGTGTGTGTGTTGGGGGGAAGAGGCGAGGTTCGGCTGTGGGAGGAGCCTCCCCGGGCCGAACTTGGGGGCGGAGCCTCGTGATGGGGCGGAGCCCCGAGCAGCAGCCACGCCCTCGTGGGCGGGACTTCCTGTCTCGGGTGCCGGGTCCTTCATCCCCGGAAGAAGCGAGCCCCAGAGGCGTCGGATCTCGTAAAGGGCGAGGCGTGCACCCAGCCCAGGTGAGCGAGAGCCGCTATCTGCCACCCCACCACGGCCCCCGTGCGGGCGCTGCGGGATGGCTCCTCCGTCGGAAAGGCGCGGGGGTGCGGGGGTCCGCGTGCGGTCGGGGTGGCGGGGGCGGCGCCCCGGGGCCCAGGCAGCGGTCAAGTAGCGGGTCCGCGGTCGCGATCGTCGGGAATGCAGGAGCCGTGTGGCCGCTGAGGGCCAGCAGGTCTGCCCTTGTTTTCATGAGACCGACTCGGGAGAAGTTCAGAGAGAGAGAGATTGCATTACTTGCATTGCTCCGCGAGGTCGCCTATCCCAGTTGGAGCGACTGGGCAGCACCCCCCGGGACCCCTGGGCAGCACCCCCCGGGACCCCTACCGGGCTCTGTCGAGCCTCCAGGGACAGGGGCACAGGGAGATGACAGACAGTGCGGCGGTGGCCGTGACCCGGGCAGAAACTGTTGGAAATGTTGCAGGTGGGGATGGCCTTTTGGAAAGGAACTGGGTTAGAACCGAGTCCCTTCGCTCGGGAGTTACTCTGCAGAAGGCATTCACAGCAGCGGTCCAGATGCGGGCAGGGGGTTGTGAAGTGCCCTGCGAGCCGTGCTCCAAGTTCTAGGGGCGCTTCCAGCTCCAGGGCGTTCCCCAAGCTTCCCGCTCTGCCTTCTTTTCTCCTTAGGATTTCCGCTGCACTTGCTGCCCGCTCTGATAACTCACATGTTGGTACCTGGGGCCGTTTGACACCCCTCCCCCACCCCCCTCACTGCAGGGTCCGTTTATTCAGCTGCTTGGTTGTTTTCACGACCCCTTCAACCTCTCCTGATGAAGCTCGTGGGGTTAGACTCGTGGTCGCCCCACCTCCTCCACCCCAAACCCAAAGTGACTCTCTTGCTCTGTGTCAGCACCATGGATGTCACCACCATCTGTTCACTTTGCTAAGATTGGAGAGAAATCTGGGCACCACTGAATCCTTCTTCTCCCCTTAGATCTCATCTCCAGCCTGTTAACAACCAAGTTTTCTCCCCTACTTTACTTCCCAAAGCAAGTAGCTCCTGTCTTGAATTTCAAGTTCTCCCCCTTTCCTGAAGCCAGCCCCGGGGTGTCCTAAGTACTACTGCCCTTGAAGTCTAAATATCCTGACTCACACGTCTGACTTCTTGACCCATATCTGTTCTCTCTTCCCTCCACCCTGCAATCTATGCTGTGCAGTGGGAAATGATTCTTTGTGGCTCTTAAATCAAGATCTCATCTCCAAGTCCCTGTGTACCTCCTCAAGATCCCTTCTATTTCCTCCTCCTCATCCTTCCCAGTTTCTCTTGGTCTTCTCTGAGCAATCTCACTTGCCCTTCAGATCTTGGCTGATCATGTTCTCGGGGAACCTCATTCCTTCCACCGAGTCAAAGCTCCCAGATCACACACTACTTGTATGCCTTCTACTTCTCTTGGTGATTTTTGCATGTAGCCTGTGATTTAACATATGCTTCCTGACTAGAGGATTTAAGTGTGAGCCAGTCCTGTCTTTTCCTCACTGTGGGGCATTGTGTGTCCTGTACGACCACATATCTGTTACCTGATTCAACAAATCAGGACCTCTGGGGATGGTTAATCCCTAAAAGAAGGGGTCTCTTTTGAAATGGCTCTTTCCATTGGTAGGAGTTATTTTAGTGCTCCTTAGAAGGTGGAGATATGACTTGCAGTTTCTGGCAAGAAAGCAAACACATTCCAAGAACATCTAGCTCTGTTCTCATCTTGGAGATAGGAGTAAGAATTAGGGGGAGGAGAATTTGGAAGTAACAGTTGCCATGCTCGAAGCTGTTGCTTCTTCAACTCAAGAAGAGGATTGATTTTTACCTGTTTGAAAGTCTTACACTAGGAAGGAAAAGCATCCCAAGGAAAGCTGAGTGTGTGGGTCCTGTGTGCTCCCGTCCCCGCCTTCTCCCGGTGGCTGTGGGGGAGCATCTCTGGAGATGTCCCTGCGTAGTCTTCCACTGAAGTTTTGTGTCAGTTGTTCTCAGTTACAGAGATGAAAGTAGGGTTGCTTGCTAGTGATTCAGAATGATGCCACGTTTTTTCCCCTTGAGTCTGACAGTTTAAAAAGCATCTCTGTGCTCGGTACAGACTTCAGAGAGTGGTCAGCTCTGCAGTGGTAAATTATTTTTATCTCTTTACCAGTCTGTGGAAAATTGGACAGTTCAGAACCCTAAAAATAAGTTTTCTGTCTGAAACTCGGTGAAGGAAATTTTTCTTTTGCTTTATTATTTGCTGTTGGTCCTGGAATTTTCCTTCCTTGGAACATTAAACTAGACTAGCAACACACACACACACACACACACAGACACACACACACACAGACACACACACACACACACACACACACACTTATGTATATTTAAATTTTTTTTTTTTGCAGCTCCAGGTTTTGAACTCCAGCCTGAACCACCTTCCTTATCCCAGAATGTTAAAATAAAACAGTGGACTTTAATGTCAGAATTGGGTTCAGTTTCTGTGTCATTTACTTGTAGCCTTAAAGCAAGTCATTGCTCACCTCATAGCTTAAAGTTCTTCATCTTTACTGCCTTACTGGGAAAAAAAATACAACATTTGTGGAGCACTGAATGACCTGACATTGAGTTGGCATAATAATTGAGTCTGTGGATTGTGCCGTCTCTTTCTTTCAAAGCTTGTTTTATTTCAGCCATTCGAATTTTCATTTTATTTTCCATCCAGGTATTTCTTGTGAAGCTGGAGATGTAGAACACAGTCTTTGCATGTATGCGGGAAGCTTTGGGTTTAATCCCTGTCAACCTCTTCCCTCCATAAAATGCTTCTTGTATCTTTTTGTCTCTTTCCCAGGTGAATGTTTTTTGATTGTTTGTTTTTGTCTTGTTTTTGGGCGGGTCATGCCCAGTGGTGATTAAGGGACCATATGCAGTGCCAAGGATCAAATCATTAACCCTTTTTGCATGGCAAACACATTAACCCTGTACTATCTTTCTGGTCCAGAGATGTTTTTTAAAGGGGTATATGAGTGAATCTAGAATAAGGAAGAAGTGACTCCCCAAAGGAGATAATTTACTAATTGATATGCATCTGTGAGCTCTTAATTCTGTAGTGAAGACATTTAGAGGTTCGTAACTATTTTGTCCTTATAGGTGTTAATTTTATTGAGAAGATGGCTGATCCTTGGCAGGAATGCATGGATTATGCAGTAACCCTAGCAAGACAAGCTGGAGAGGTATGAACAAAAATCTTGTGAGCCCTAATAGGTGATGGCTATGGACAACATGAGGTTTTCCAGCTTATTAAGTTCAGTTAATTTTTTTTTTTCTTTTTGGGTCACACCCAGCGATACACAGGGGTTACTCCTGGCTCCGCACTCAGGAATTACTCCTGGCAGTGCTCTGTGGACTATATGGGATGCTGGGAATCAAACCTGGGTCGGCCGCATGCAAGGCAAATGCCCTACCATTGTGCTATTGCTCCAGCCCTCAGTAAATATTCTTAATAACCTGTATTTTCTCAAGGGGTTGCCCTGCCACGGAGGCAGGGGGGGATGGGGGGGTGGGGGTGGGAGGGATATTATCCATGGTGGTGGAAAATGGGCACTGGTGGAGGGATAATTGAAACCCAAGCATAAAAAATTGTAAATCTACAACTGTACCTCATGGTGTTTCACTAATAATAATAAAAAAATAACCTGTGTTTTCTGCATTTTGCTAAATATTTTTATTGTGGTGAATATTCTATTTTTCTATTATTAAACTCAATTTTGTGGGCAGGGACATACCTGGCAGTGCTCAAGGGTTTTTCCCAGGTAGTGTCGACCTGGAAATTGAGCCTGGTGCTCCCGCATGCAAAGCACATATCCCAGTCCTGTGAGCCATTTCCTGGTCCTCATTAAATGTTTTCTTGAGGGGTGGTCAGTCGGAGTTGGCTTCCTCCCAGACTGGACAGTTCAGTGCTAGGGCTGGGAATGTGGTACTACTCAGCCCTTAGGGACTGCAGGCCCCTAGAACTACAACTCGTGGTGCTCAGAGGGTCAGGGGGTTACTGGGCATCAATCACAGGTCCCTGGACATCCAAGATGTACACCCCCGATCACTGAGCTAACTCCCTGATCCCTCACTAAACTTTTTGTATCTGCAGTTGTGACTCTAAAATAAGATTAGGTACAACATCATAATCCAGTATGATTTACTAGATTATGATATTGTTCCTAGGTGTCCATAACCACTATAGGTAAGATGTTACAGAAATGGTGTTGAGAGAAATTTTAGAATATCATTTGAGACAGATTGAATATTGGACTATTTCTGTATTTCATCGCATAGTTTGATTGAACATGACTAATGTGCTTAAAAATTTTCCTTTCTTACCAAAACAAAATTTTAGGTGGTTTGTGAAGCTCTGAAAAATGAAATGAATGTTATGATTAAAAGCTCCCCAGCTGATTTGGTCACTGCTACTGATCAAAAAGTTGAGAAAATGCTTATTTCTTCCATAAAGAAAAAGTATCCATCACACAGGTATGTCTTTTTTTTTTCCTCTCTCTCTTTTTGTAAACAAGGAATATTTCTTATTTTATTCTCCAAGGATAAGATAAACCCCGGTTGAAAGCAATTTTTGGCTGTAGGCACTGGAATTAACCTGAGTTAACTTCAGCTAAAAGGAATTCTTTTGGAGCTTTGCTTGAGAGCTGAATTTAGACAGGAAGCAGAGGAGAGCCCCCAGGAACCATTGCCAAGGGTACTCTTGGCTCTGTGCTCAGGGCTCACTCATGGCAATGCATGAGGGACCATAGGTGGTGCTGGGGATTGAACTGGGTCGGCAAGGCAGGCACCTTATTTGTACTCTATCTCTTGCCCTGTAGCTTCCCATTTGACTGTTGGCATTGGGTTATTTGCCTCATTAAATCAAGCTAACAAATCCCGGGCAAGAACATCTGCCTGTTGAGCTCAGGCTATTTGCTCAATCTGTCTGTAGGCAGCAGACTGGGGAGATTTGGATTCCTTCACAGGAAGCAGAGACTTGGAATGTTATCAAGCCAACATGACAAATGCCTATCGTAGTCATGAATTAGAAATTTTATTTTATTCTCCATCATGCTTGCTTTGTTACGTGGAGGGGTGGTAGCAGATTTCAGAAAAACTATTAATAAACGAATTCTGACAGGCGTACAAGTCTTAATAGAAACTGTGTCATTATTTTCCAACTTTCACGGTGATATTTTTACTTCCTGGTCATGCCATTGGTGAGTCTTGGTGTTTTAGCCATTGAGGTGGGAAAATGTTCAAAGGTCTGACTTAATATCACGATCACGATCATCCTGTTGTTCATTGATTACCTCAAGCAGGCACCAATAACGTCTCCTTCTTCCTAGCCCTGAGATTTTAAAAGAGCCATATTCAGTGCTCTTTCAGGGTTAGGAGAATGAGACCCATCATTGTTACTGGTATTTGGCATATTGAGTATGACACGGGAAGTTTGCCAGACTCTGCCGTGCGGGCAGAATATTTTTGGTAGCCTGCCAGGTTCTCCAAAGTAAGAATGAGAAAGCAAATGAGATGAGATAAGATGAGATGATGAGATGAGATGAGATGAGATGAGATGAGATGAGATGAGATGAGATAGCAAATGTGGTCATGCACTTCTGGGAGCTGGGTTTATAGTCTCTGGGTCTTGGCCGTTGATGGGATCAACCTGGTGCTGGCAGCAGCTGGTGGGTGTGATGCCTACCTACTAGAAGATGGAAGGTCTGGGTGGAGAAGGCCCAGTCCCCATCCGAGCAGGCTTGGAGATCTCAGCCCCGGGACACGCATGCCTGGGTTTCTCTGCCAGTTCCGTCATGCATGATGCTTGTCTGGACGTGTGGAGAGTGGTCTCAGCATGGCTGTGGCTGGTTCTGGAGGTCTTCGGCTCCTGGGCCTCTGCTTGGGGCTGGGAGGAGGGAAACTCCAAGAGGCCTTCAAGGGGCCCTGGTGAGGACAGCCAGGCGTGGGGGCAGGAGACTCTGTGCTGTTCTCTTCCAGGAGCTGGGTTTTATAGTCTCTGTGTCTTGGCCATTGATGGGACCAACCTGGCGCCAGCGGCAGCTGGTGGGTGTGACTCCTACCTACTGAAAGATAGAGGGTCTAGGTGGAGAAGGCCCAGTCCCGATCCAAACAGGCTTGGAGATCTCAGCTCCGGGACCCACATGCCTGTTCCTTCATGCATGTGGCTTGTCCGGACGTGTAGAGAGTGGTCTCAGCATGGCTGTGGCTGGTTCTGGAGGTCTTCGGCTGCTGGGGCTCTGCTGGGGTGGGGGGGAACTCAACCCGCCCCCCTCCAACGGATCCTGGTGAGGACAGCCAGGCGCGGGGGCAGGAGACTCTGACTTAATATACTTCTAGTTAATAAAGTTATATTGAACTAAGAGAAAAATAGATTGTTAAAAAAGATTATGATAGGGGCCAGAGCAATAAAACAGTGGGTAAGGTGATTGCCTTGCATGTGGCTGACCAGGTTTGATCCCTAGCATCCCATATGGTCACCTGAGCACCGCCAGGAGTAGTTCCTGAGTGCAGAGCCAGGAGTAACCCCTGAGCAACTCAGGGTGTGGCCCCCCCCATTAAAACAAAATAAACATTATTTAAATAAAACAGATAATGATAATGATTAGGGCAAGCTAGTAGCACTTGATGGTGGGGGGGGGGGGAAGGAAACTAGGGAAGGAAATAAGAAAATCAGTGAACCCAGTTACTATGTACAGAATTCAGAGATACACTGCAAAGTGTGCTTTAGGGAAACAGAGGAAAGAAATTTCGGTGGGTGATTAGTTTTGGGAATGACATTTAATCTTTTTTTTTTTTTTTTGCTTTTTGGGTCACACCTGGCGATGCACAGGGGTTACTCCTGGCTCTACACTCAGGAATTATCCCTGGCGGTGCTCACCCCTGATGGAATGCTGGGAATTGAACCCAGGTTGGCCACGTGCAAGGCAAACGCCTTACCCGCTGTGCTATCGCTCCAGTCCCAAGACATTTAATCTCACCTATTGCTGCAGAGTAAATAAGAATTCAGCAACTCCAAGCAGCACTTGTCTACTACCTCCCACATTTCTTGAGATCAGGAATAAGGGAAGCGCTTGCTCGGTACACAGTGCTCGCCCCCCAGTCTCATACAGTCGGAGCCAACCTGTTCAGGGCTGCATTTTCTTCTGGATCAACTGGGGCTGAAGTCTGGTCACGCACGTGATTGCGGCAGCCTTCATTTGCCCTGTGCTTATCTGCTGGCACTTTCCCTGAGTTCCTCATCTACAGACCTCTATGTACCTCTATGTATCTCTAGTACAGTACTCTGTGTACTATGTGCTGCTGGCTTCCTTCAAAGAAAGAGGGGAACGAAGAGTTTTCACATGACTATGCTGGGGAGGAAGTAAAGATTTTCTACCTTCTTCAGCCTGAAGGAGAAGGTCACTGTGGAAAATGGTGACTTTTGTCATGTTCCGCAGTCGACCGTGTAGCTCCAGCCGCATTAAGGGTCGAGTGATGCCAAGATTCAGAGTTTGTTTTTCTTGCTTTTAGTTTCATCGGTGAGGAATCTGTAGCAGCAGGGGAGAAAAGTCTCCTCACGGACAATCCCACGTGGATCATTGACCCTATTGATGGAACAACTAACTTTGTGCATAGGTATGTCTTAAGATTGTAGCATTGTAATTAGTATTTGTGTACTTACTGGGCGAGTCTTTCGAGCGTCTGCTCCTTAAACTGTGGTCAAGACCCCGTATGGAATGTTGGGGGGGGAGGGGTGACTTGAAAAATTTGACAGCAGTAAAATGTTTTTGACAAAGACCAAAAATTCATTCAATCAACCTCTATTGGGAATTCAGAGTGTTTCTGGCATCTCTCACTTGGGGTGAGTGATGAAATAGTCGTGATGGGATTTGTGCAGTAACATCCCTGTTCACCATCATTCTCACAATTAAAACCTTGCAAAAACAGAAGTGAGCAACATTACTGCTCTATCAGGTAAGGAGCAAGTAAGGTCAATATTGGATTATGGTAGGGGCCAGAGAGATGGTTCAGGAGTTAAGGTGTTTGCCTTGCATGAGGCTGACCCCGGTTTCATCCCTGGCACTGCACATGTTCCCCTGAGCACTGCCCCCTCTATAAGAAGAGAGAGAGAGTGAGAGAGAGAGAGAAAGATCCAGAGCCAAATGTTATATCATTGTAGAATTGATCAACAGATCTGTCTTTGAAACTTGGTGCTCTTTTTAGCTTTTATAGACAGACTTGATGACCGTGGGAAAGTTACTTAATCTCTCTAAGCTTTAGATTTGTTTTTTGTCTATGAAATGATCATTTAAAAAAAAAAGGTAACATTGGTTTACAGCACTATATTTGTTTTAGGAGTACAAGTTCACCCTTTCCGAATGTACCTTACCATGCCACAGCCACCAACAAAGACCCCATATCTCCTGAGTGTCCACCGTGTCTGGGCCTCTGTCCCTCAGTCCCTCTGGCCCGCTCCCCCCGTGCCTCTCTGGGACCCCCAGCTCTGCATTCTCACCCCTTCGTGGTTTTGTTTTCATTCTGCCTGTTCCCCTGCTTCTCTGTGCTATAGAAATCTCTTGGCAGAGACCTCTGTGTCTCTCTGTGGAGACCTAGAATGAGATCGTCTGGTATTTGACTTCTTACTTCTGACTTACTTCATCCATAGGCATGCATATATCTTTGGGGATTGTTTTCATATGTGTTGGCTAGATAGCAGGGAGTGGAGTCGGCTGTATCTTTTGGGAGATTTACTTTAAACATAAAATGGCCATATTAATGGCACCTGCTTCTTAGAATTGTTAGGATTCAGTGGATAGGATCGTTATAAAGAGCTTACGCTTGGCACTCAGTAAGTATATACCTCATCTTACTAGCACCAGAAGAGATTATTAGTGAGTATTTGCTTTTCAGATATGAAGCATCAAGTTTGGGCTAGAGTTGAGTCACAACTTTTTCTGTACAATTTTTTTTTTGGCCACACCCGATGATACTCAGAGGTTACTCCTGGCTCTGCTGTCAGAAATTATTCCTGGCGGTGCTTGGGAGATTATATGGGATGCTGGGATTGAACACAGGTCGGCCTCATACGAAGCAAATGCCCTACCCGCCATACTACCTCCCTGGCCCCTTTTTTCTGTACAATTTAAACCCCGTAGTCCAAGTAGACCCAAGCAGTCCAGGTTGTGGGAAAATGACTAAAGAAACAATCATTTGGAAAAAAAAAAATCTTGACCAGCTAAATTAAAAAAAAAATCATTTATATTTTTTGAAAAATAAAGACTAAAGCATTTTATGTTCAATAGCTATGAAATGGCAGATAGTATAAAGTATTGAGAGCCAGTTTCCAATGCAAGGGATGGGTTGTCTTCCCATGCCAGCAAACAATAGAGTATCTTCTGGACCTCAGCTGGATGACCTTCCACTTAATTCAGTCCTGTCAGTGACAGCAGGAGATGACAGAAGATTTCACAAAGTAAGAACTTGCTCCTTTGGTGCTTTCAGACCTGACTGTGGTGTGGCCAGAAGTGACCTGCAGTGCCAGAGCTTGATGACAGCAGGGTGGCCAAGCCCAAGCAGAGGTGCCAGGTTCACACTGGGCCCATATGGGTCACGGGATTTGAACTTGCGGCCCATATGGGTCACGGGATTTGAACTTGTGGCATGCGAGACAGACAAGCATTAAAGCCGCTGAGTTATTCCTCTAGGCCCCCAGAGATCATTTTGTTTGTTCTTGCGTCATACCAACAGTGCTCAGGTCTTCCTCCTGGCTCTGGGCTCAGGGGTCACTCCTGGCGGGGCTCCGTGGACCGTAAGGGATGCTGGGGATCCATCCTGCCGTGGTACCCGCTAGCCCAGAGATAATGGCTTACCAGTGGGTTTTACTTGTCTGGCAGGGAGGGTACTTAATGACCAGACTCCTTTGGTCTTCCCGGGCTGTTCTTCCTCCTCCCCTCCCTCCCCCCTTCCTCTGATGGCCCCAGGCTTCCCCTGCAATGTGCCCTTGAGTTTGTTGTCTTGACTCCATCTTAGACTTAATTCAGTGTTGTCTCCTGTTCATATCTTGTATGGAACCTGAAAGGGAAGAAGGGAAAGTGTTTCTCCTTCTGCACCACAGTGTCCTGTATAGATCAGCCCCGTATCCCACCCCTGCCCTCTCTCCCACCTGGATAAAAGGCTGTCTTGTTCTCAGGCAGAGGGCCCAAACTGTTCTGCAACATTTTGTAAGCAGTTATATTAGGGGAAAAAAAAAACAAAACAAAACATTTTTCTTGGCAATGAGTTCTGTTATGATAACATTGTATCTTCGCTTTTTTTTCCTCTCCCCTCCACCCCCCCTCCCCAAGGTTTCCTTTTGTAGCTGTTTCCATTGGCTTTGTTGTAAATAAAAAGGTATGTGGTTTAAATTCATGGTTGCCAAAAGTTGGTTGCTCTTCTTTTCCGAGAAAGAATCAGTGTGTTTTCGTAATAAATTCAGGTTTGTGTCTGTTGAATTTATAGAACTGCATTATTTTGAAATATGCTATAGAACTATTAAAACTGCCTTGATACTTCTTGCCAGTGCAGAAGATTTAATGTTTTTTTGAGAGGCAAGAATTATTAAAAACCAAAACCCAAACAAAAAAAAAACACAAAGTAGCTGAAATTCAATTTAATACTTAATCCCTATTCTGTATCTGATAGAGTCAAATGTGAGAGGAGTTGCGGTTTCACCTGCTGCAGTGGAGAGGTAGAGTTTGTGCTTTAATGCTGAAATAGTTGGCAGTGCAGGAAAACATTGGAAGATTAGGACAGAATCAGGCGCTGGAACAAGGCTGCAGGATGGCGAGTGTGTGCAATAATCTATACACTGGGGCTGAAGCCACAGCACAGTGGATAGGCCATTTGCCTTGCACGTGACCGACCTGGGTTCGATTCCCAGCACTCCATATGGTCCCCCCACCCCCCAGCACCACCAAGAGTAATTCCTGAGTGCAGAGCCAGGAGTAACCCTTGTGCATCACTGAGTATGACCCCAAAAGGAAAAAAAAAAGAATCTAGACACTTGCTATGTCTAACCTAGTAGAATAAGATTTGTAGCTGTTGCATTTCCTTGCTACTTGACTATTTGATCAGACAATAGAGGATCGTATCTTCCTTGCCTTTCTCCCGAGATCTTGTGATATGTATGGTCAGCTTGTAAGCAGGAGAGTTAAAGTGTCTCTGGAAGCAAGGACAGTTTAGTGCAAATGAAACCGTAGCCACAGGGCTGTGTTTATCTGTGAGAACATCCTAGAGAAGCTGTGGGAGCATTTAGTCTAATCAGCCCCAGGCTATGTACTGTCCCAGACGGTGAATTGGCAAGTCAGTGTCAGTTAAGATGCACAAACAGATAAAAGATGTTATGTGTTATGGAATTATGACAGTAAAATAACAAAATGGGTAATGATTTTTTTTTCCCTTTTGGGTCACACCCAGCGATGCTCGGGGATTACTCCTGGCTCTGCACTCAGGAATTACTCCTGGTGGTGCTCAGGGGACCATATGGGATACCAGGATCGAACCTGGGTCAGCCGCGTGCAAGGCAAATGCCCTATTCACTGCACTGTCACTCCGGCCCCCAAATGGGCAATGAATTTTGCAAAATGCTCTGGTTTGGGAAATTCTTAGCAAAAGAGTTCTTAGAATTTGGTCTTCTCAGCTGGGACTTAGAAAAGCCTTGTCCAGGTAACAAGGAAAAGCATTTCAGCAGGAAAGAGCTTGCTGGAGAGTGTGATATGTGTGGGGAAAGGGAATATTTGGGATGAATGAAGCCTGGGAAGTGGCGAGAGCAGACTGAGGGGGTAAGTTAGATGCGGTCATGCCGGAAAAGTTAAGCTTTGTTTCTCCTTTGGCCACTCCTAGTGGTGCGCAGGGCTGGCTCCTGGCTCTGCACGGAGGGACTCCCCTCCTAGCGGGTGTGGGGGCCCGTCTGGGATGCTCAGGGTCAAACCTGGATCAGCTGCATGCAAGGCAAACACTCTCCCCGCTGGACCATCTCTCCCACCCAGTTAGCCTTTATTTTTAAGCTGCATGAACCAGTGCAGGGTTTTATTTATTTATTTATTTATTTATTTTTGGGTCACACCTGGCAATGCACAGGGGATACTCATGGCTCTGCACTCAGGAATTACTCCTGGCGTTGCTCAGGGGATCATATGGGATGCTGGGAATTGAACCTGGTTTGGCCGTATACAAGGCAAACGCCCTACCCGCTGTGCTATTGCTCCAGCCCCGGTACAGGTTTTTAAATGCAGAATCATGGGAAATACTGGCTGTAGAGAGAGATTTTAGTGGCGATATTGGTGATTTGGAACCAAGATGGGGTGGTGACAGTAGGCAAGGAATGCTAAATTCAGAACATGTTTCCAGCAAAAAATTTGGAGGGGGGGTTTATGTAAGGAAAAGATGAGGTGTAATCTGATAATGTCTAGGTGTTTTTTTTTTTACTTCTTTGAGGTTGGGGTTTCTGCAGCTCTAGGTTATTTTGTAATGACTGGGGCTGATGGCAGCTTCAGTTTGAGGTGGTAGTTGAAATGGTGGAATGGCAAGAACCAGCTTCTAAGGATACAGGGGACTAACAGAGAAATGAGATGAAAGAATGAAAAATGTATAAAGCCACCAAAATCTGAGGTACACAACGGGTAGGAGTTAGGCAGAGAAGATTCCGACAAAGTGACGCTAATGGAGGGTGTCATACAGCTCCCCAGCACGTCTCCCCAAGAAACGTTTTATGGGGAGTGTGAAATAGTCAAAGCAAACCCTCCTTAAAAGGTAGAGGAGGCCAGTGAGGGGAATAGAACCTGTCTGGGAATAAGTATTTATTTAAGGATAGCAAATATCCTCCCACAAACACAGTGGGTAGTGTGGTTCTTTTTTTTTTTTTTTTTTTTTTTTTTGCTTTTTGGGTCACACCCGGGATCACTCCTTCACTCCTGGCTCTGCACTCAGGAATTATCCCTGGCGGTGCTCAGGGGACCATATGGGATGCTGGGAATCGAACCTGGGTCGGCCGCGTGCAAGGCAAACGCCCTACCAGCTGTGCTATTGCTCCAGCCCCCTAAGAGAAGCTGTCAGGTCCCTTTTGCCCCTGCCCTGTTTCTCTGACCCCTCTTCCCTTTATGATTTCAGGGTCAGATTTTGATGTGCTAAAAAGTATCCCCGTGATTGTTCAATGAGCTGGAGCTTGCTCCCACTTTCCTTGGACTCACCTAGTCATGCTCCCCCCTGATTATTGCAAAAGGAGAATTTTTTTTGGGGGGGAGGACATAATACTCCTGAAGATTTTCACCCCATTACTTCAGGATTGGGACCTTGCTTGATGCTCTGGTGCTAGGCAGTCGATAGACATTCTTGCTCCCTTTCTACCATAATCACACACACACACACACACACACACACACACACACACACACACACACACACCATTTGCTGTCTACATCCTGACAACTTCACTGCTCTGTGGTAGTAAAGGAAACAGAGAAGAAACTCGGAAGCTTTGGTGATAGCAGGAGACATTTTGGTAGAAGGAACCAGAATTGAAATCCAAGAGGCGGGAATCTCAGTTGATGGAACAGTTATTCGGAGAAGAATGAAAGGATAGGAAGGAATGATAGCAAAGAGGAAAGATTCATATTAGGAAACTTGAAAGGTGTATCCTTGTCTGAGGCAGAGGTCAGATGGGGCCCCTTGGGTTTAGAAGTGGATATGGCAAGAGGCTTGGGTTCGAGTTTGATTTCTTTCCTCTGATTCCACTGGCAATCAGCATTTTAAGGTGGCACAGTTTCGTGTTAAACAGCATTACTGAGTAGGCTCAGTTTTGTTGCTGCCTTAGAAAAATGGTTCGGTGCTGAAAACTACTCAGGTTTGGCAAAAGAAACTTGTTTCCCTTCTACAGATGGAATTTGGAGTTGTGTACAGTTGTGTGGAGGATAAGATGTACACCGGCAGGAAAGGAAAAGGCGCCTTTTGCAATGGCCAAAAACTCCAGGTCTCCAAACAAGAAGGTAGCGTTATCTAATGTTTCATTCGCTTCATAGTACAAATTGTATTTTATGGTTTTTGAATGTTACGCTTCGGTGTTCTCTGAGTGTCAACGAATATGTAAATTGTGTTTGTTTTCCCTCTGCTTTTTAACGTCAGCCTCACCACCTTCGAATGTGGTGAAGGAAGCTGGAAGGGCAAGTGTGATTGCACCAACAATTCAGGCCCTGCGTCTGGCTAGCACCTCAGGCACTGGAAGAGGACCATCACTCCTTGTCCTCATGCAGTTCATGGTTTATAGTTTTGGCCACTGCAACACAGATCCTTTGTCAAAATCCTCTGCTCTGGCTCCATTGGTGCCAGTCAGTAGGTTGTAAATTGTGGTAGAAAAGTTTGTTCAAGTCAGAGAAGACTAGAAGCGATACATACACTTTTTTTTTTTTAAAATAAACTTGATTGGCATTCTCATTATTTCTATGTGATGATTGTTTGAGATTTTTAGTTGCATTTTTACCATAGCACAGCGGTAGGGTTTGTCTTGTGTGCGGCCAGGCCGAGCCGGGTTCAATTCCTCCGTCCCTCTCGGAGAGCCCGGCAAGCTACTGAGAGTATCTTGCTCGCATGGCAAAGCCTGGCAAACTCCCAGTGACGTATTCGATATGCCAAACACAGTAACAACAAGTCTCACAATGGAGACGTTACTGGGCCCACTCAAGCAAATTGATGAACAACTGGAGGACTGTGCTACGGTGCTACCATCAAACCACATATTCCATAGCTTGTACTTCAGATTCATGTGGATTCACCAAAACTTAGATACAGGCAAAGCAGTCTTTTTTTTTTTTTTTTTTTCCCCTTTATTTTATTTTATTTTTTTTAAAGTTGTAGATTTACAATTTTTTGTGCTTTGGTTTCAATTATACAATGATCAGATACCCATCCCTCCACCAGTGCCCATTTTCCACCACCATGGATAATATCCCTCCCACCCCCATCCCCCCATCCCCCCGTCTCTGTGGCAGGGCAATCCCCTGTGTTCTCTCTCTCCTTTTGGGTGTTGTGGTCTGCAAAAGAGGCATTGAGTGGCAAACATGTTCAGTCCATAGTCTACTTTCGACATGCATCTCCCCTCCTGGGAGGATCCTCCAAACATCCTTTATTTGGTGCTCCCTTCTCTATCTGAACTGCCCTTTCCTCTAGGATACCCGGCTGGCCTCTAAGTTATGGAGTAATCCTCCTGGTGCTGATCTCAGCTATTCTTGGGTATTAATCTCATACTTTGTTACTTTATATCCCCCAGATGAATGCAATCTTTCTATGTCTATCCCTCTCTTTCTGACTCATTTCGCTTAGCATGATACTTTCCATATTGTACCACTTGTATGTAAATTTCATGACTTCATCTTTTCTAAGAGCTACATAGTACTCCATTGTGTAGATGTACCAAAGTTTCTTTAACCAGTCATCTGTTCTTGGGCATTCAGGTTTCTTCCAGTTTCTGGCTATTGTAAAGAGGGCTGCAATGAACAAACAAGTGCAGATGTCACTTCGACTATACATTTTAGGCAAAGCAGTCTTAAGTTCGGAATCCTCCTGCATCTCTGTATTCACAGTGATTCCATAAAAAAAGTTAAAAAGAAAAAAGAAAATTCGATATCCGAGACTTGATAAAATCATTTAATTTAGGAATGAAAAATATAAAGGAAAGAAAAAGTGCTTTCTGTCTCAATACAAATACTATATAGTTGTGTCCTGTAGAAATTTGCTTTATTTTTTAGATTTATGTGATAATAAAAACCAGTTTTCCATTGGTTGAGTTGAAACAGAAAAGCAGTATGTTTCAGAATCTGAGAAACAATAGCTTTTACAAAAACAACTCTTTGCATTTTGTAATTATTTGTTTACATAGTATTCAGTAGGTAATTACATGTAGACACAACAGTAGTAAGCATGCTTGGAATAAGCTGGCAGATACACATTTCCACTGGCGGGAGGGATGAAGAGAAGGATCTACAGCAGCGGGAGTCAGCCGGGTGTTCTGAATGTCAATCTCACTGTTTCAGAGAGAAGTGGAAGTATTAGATAATCTGTCAGTTTGGTAAGTGGGGATCAGAGTTGCTATGTAATTTTAACTTCGGTTTTATTACTTCAGATCTAAGTATATAGACAAGTATTTCTCAATTCCACCTTTTTGTGTTAGAAGTTTTTTCTTTTTCTGGCTATAAGTACAGACATGCATGCTGGCTGGTGAAATTCTTTCTACCCTTTTAGAGGGTGGACAAAGAAATAGAACCTTTTTGACATTTATAAAAAAAAACACTGGGGGTAGCAGATTTATCAGCATTTTACTATTTAGAGCTTGGAAAGAAAATCAATACAACTAAGAAGAGAATAAAATGTCCCATTTTATTCTAAATTATAAGTGTCTATGTTTTTTTTGTATCAGATTTCTTCCTCTTAACTCCAGTTTATTAAAAACATTTTCTTTTAGATATTACCAAATCACTCTTAGTAACAGAGTTGGGCTCCTCGAGAACACCAGAGACAATAAAAATTGTTCTTTCTAATATGGAAAAGCTCCTTTGCATTCCCATTCACGGGTAAGCACTTTTTATTTCTTCTTCTAAAATTCTAACAAACTTTGCATTTAAGGAATGAATTTTCTTTCAGAAATCAAGGGTTTGTTTTTACACAGATGGTATCAGTACCCTTTGCAACACAATAGCGATTCCACAATTTAATTTTAAAACATTTTTGGGGGGGGCAGGGCTTGGGGCCACACCAGGCGATGCTCAGGAGTTCCTGTACTCAGAAATTACTCCTGGTGGTGCATGAGGGACCATATGGGATGCCAGGGATTGGCAGGCACCTACCCACTGTTCCAGCTCCCCAGCCTCCTAAAACCGTTCTTTTGAAAAATAATTCATTCCTTTGGGTTTTGGGCCACACCTGGTGGTGCTTGGAGGCTGCTTGTGGCAGTGCTTAGGGTCACTGTGGCATTGCTCAAGTAATCTGTGTGGCACTAGGGGTCAAAGCAGGCTTGACTACAAGCAAGGCAAATACCCGATTGCTCACTCGAACCCTCATAAATCATTTTAAACTTAACAAAATTTGCAAAAATGAAACGCAAAAATCATTCTACCTGGATTCACCTGTTGTTAATATTTTGCCCCATTTACTTTATCATTTTTTTCTTTTTTTCTCTTTACATGCATACCTTTCCCCCGCTCAAATAGTTTAGGGATAAATTTATTTGTATCATGGTTCTATTATTTTTTTTTTTTCTCTTTTGGTCACACCATCTGGCGATGTTCTGCACTCAGGAATTATTCCTGCTGGTGCTTGGGGGACCATATGGGATGCCGGGGATTGAACCCGGGTTGGCCGCATGCAATGCAAGGCATGCAAGGCAAATATCCTACCTGCTGAACTATCGCTCGGATGCTGTATCGTGGTTCTTTACCCTTAAATAATTTAGTTTGTTCTTTCCTGAGACAAGGGATATTTTCTCCTATAACTACAGTAGAAGTATTGACTTCCTATCTGATTGCATTCATGGTCAGTTTTGTCAGCTGTTGTAACAATGTCCTTTGGGAGAAGTTTTCTTTTTGCAGAGCAAAATTCAGTCTAAAGTCAGATGTTACATTTAGTCAGGTCTCTTGAACCTCTGTTAATCTGGAGCATTTCAAAAGTCTAAGAAATTACCCATTTCCTTGAAATGTTCGAGTTATTTGCAGAGTTATACATATGCAAAGGCAGACTCACAATTCAGTGTATTTCTAATTTCTCTCCAGTAGTTAGCAGCAGTGATTTGTCTCACATTTTGTATATGCGTGTCTTCTTTTTTAAAGAAATCCTCAATTTTTAAAAAAAAATGAACTTATTTCAGTTTCTCACTTAGTAAAGTAAAATAAATAAATAAATAAATAAATAAAAATGCCTGCTTTTTTTTTTTTTTTCCTGCTATGGGGCAAATCTTTGCCCAGACTAAAAATGTTATTTATGGTCCTTCTGCATCACTTTGTTTGTCTCTTGAACAAACAGTGGAGTTTTGCTTTACAATCAATTCAAAAAATACTTATTAGAATGAAAGCATTAGATCTATTTGGCGGGGGCTGGGAGGTGGTTGAGGCTACACACTTACTTCTGGCTCTGTGCTCAGGGATCACTTCTCACCCGGCTTGGGGGACCAAATGTGGTGCAGGGAACAAACCCCTGGGTCAGCTGTGTGCAAGGGAAACATCTCACCTCTGTACTATCTCCACCTTTCTAGACCTATTCGTTTTAACATAACTTTTGTTTGATCTCAGTTCTGTCATTTTTTGATATGACTGTGTTATTGTCCTAATGCTATAGTATTATAGTTATTACATTTATTTGCTATTTCTTTATATATTTCTTTTATTTGTGAAATATTAAGCCTATTCTGTGGTGATTAAGCCTATTATGTGGCCTTACTAGTATGTATCTCTTTGTCCCATTATTGATGATGTTAACTTTGACTGCATGATAACGGTAGACCATTATAAAGATCCTCTCTTCCCATTGTAGTTGGATAACTGAGCAAGATAATCTAATACATATAATATCATCCTTTCATCATTTCTTTGCTATATATATATGTATTTTTTTTTTTTTTGCGGGTTCCATTTTCAGTTCTTTGAGTACTCTCCATATTGTTTTCCTAAGTGATGGAACCAGTCAACATTCCCACCAAGAATGATGAGTATTTCTCTTTCACTTCACTCATTTCTTTTAGCATTTAGTTACTGACTGTAATGGTCATCAGTCTGTCCATACCTGTCTTACCTTAGTCTATTTCTAAGGACATAGACCAAAGAGAAGGCAAATTTGTGATCTTGCCAGGCAGGTTTGGGTGTAAGTAGAGCCCAGGCCCTGTTTTAATCATGTCCTGATAGCACAAAGTTGAAAACAAGCAACAGAAACTTTACTCTCCTGGAAGCTATTTGTATTGTTGGCTTTAGTTCCTGGATTTAAACAAATATGAATATAAATGCATGGCATTATAGTTAGACTATTATGTTGTCTTAATTTTCCTCCTGAAGATTTTTTAAAAATATTCTGTTAAGTGATTGCTTTGTGAGGATTAATTTAATCATTTATGTAGTCATGATAATTAAATTTGAAGAATTGTTATTCTCAAATTAGAAATGGCAGGTTTGTACCTGTATCCTCTAGATGTGTTCAAATGATCAGTCGTCGCTTGAACTGAAGGTTACTGTCATTGTCCCATTGTTCATCAATTTGCTCCAGCGGGCCCAGTAACATTTCCATTGTGAGACTTGTTGTTACTGTTTTCGGGATATTGAACATTTCTGTTGTGAGACTTGTTGTTACTATTTTTGGCATATTGAATATGTCAGAGGTAGCTTGCCAGGCTTTGCCGTGCAGGTGAGATACTCTTAGTAACTTGCTGGGCTCTCTGAGAGGGGTGGAGGAATCGAACCTGGCTTGGCCAGGCTGGCTGCGCGCAAGGCAAACGCCCTACCACTGTGCTATCGCTCCAGCAACTGAAGGTAAGGAGGAATATCTTCTCTGGAATTTAGATTTTTTCCCCCCAGTCATCTTGTTTTTAATTGTTACCTGTTAGGATCCGAGGCGTGGGAACTGCAGCGGTAAACATGTGCCTGGTGGCAACTGGAGCCGCAGACGCCTACTATGAAATGGGCATTCACTGCTGGGACATGGCAGGGGCTGGCATTATTGTCACCGAAGCTGGCGGCGTGCTGATGGATGTGTCAGGTACAATACGGAACAAGACTTTTTTCTTGGTTGCTCTTTTTCAGAGAATTTTTTTTTCTTCCCCTTTTCTACATTTTATACTTCAGCTCTTAAAGAAAGACAAATATGCCACTTTTAATTTTCTGCAAAATCAAACGAATAAACATTGGGAGAGAGATAAGAGTGAAAAGCTAATAGTTATGCGATATGAATGGAGATAAATGACTCAGCTCTTCAAATGTGAGTACCAGGAACTCTTGCGAAGCTGCAGGAACAGTCTCGAAGGTCACTGAGTCTGTGGATTGTACCACGAACAGGTTGAGCGATGACCTTTGTGGACTCTCTCTGTTATCGTTTTGCCTTGGTCCTAGGGAGATTAAATACTTGCTTTGATTGTGTGTGTGTGTGTGTGTGTGTGTGTGTGTGTGTGTGTGTGTGTTTAAGGGGCAAGCCCAGTTGTGCTCCGGGCTTACTCCTGGCTTTGTCTGACTCTGTGCTCAAGGATCACTCCTGGTGGAGCTGGGGAACCATATGGGGCGTTGGGGATCGTTCCCAGGCCAGCTGTGTGTAGCCTAACCCGCTGTGCCATCTGTCCGACCTCTTTACGGTAATTCCTAAAAACCAATTTTCCTTAACATAAAACACACAGACCATACAAAACTGTTGGGGAACAGTTTTTTTTCCCCCCGAGGTGCCTGTACACATTGCACACTGAGTCAGGGCAGATGTGGGGCAAAGGGTGACGGGCGCATGGAGAAACCCTGTCCAGGAGCAGCCTTGATTGACTTGATTGCCAAGTACACACGTATTTCTCAGCTTATGGGAAGGTCCATTCACATAAAGATCAGTATCACCTTTCCTGCCCTGCTATGCCCCGGTCCAATCCCATTTAAGGCTAGAGGCTGCGGTTAGGATGACCTGCTAAGCGTGCATGACAGTTTTCTTTGTCTTGGGTGCATGCGACTTGGAGATCGAGTGAAGCTTAAGGCCGGACACCCGGTGCTGACAGCCTGTTCTTGCCAACTTTGCCCAGATACTCCCTTCCGTGGGGCCTCGCGTCAGGACCGCTCTGCAAGGTCTTATTGCTCCAGTGCCTGTCGCCATGCTCCACACGAAACAACAGATTTGGACCAGAAAGAAACTAGTGCCTTATTTTCTTTTCCCTTTTGGTTTTATATCACTGTCACTATTACTGTGGTCCCGTTGTTCATCAGTTTGCTTGAGTGGGCACCAGTAACATCTCCATTGTGAGACTTGTTACTGTTTTTGGCATATCGAAAACCCCATGGGGAGCTTGCCAGGCTCTGCGTATGGGCGGGATACTCTCAGTAGCTTGCAAGGCTCTCCGAGAGGGACAGAGGAATCGAACCCAGGTCAACTACGTGCAAGGCAAACGCCCTACACGCTGTGCTATTGCTCCAGACCCTTTTATATATGAGATATACTGACATACAACATACAACATTGTATAAGTTTCAAGTATACATTTTTGCTATATTTATGTTGCAGTATTGCTGTTGTAGCATCACTGTATCACTGTAACCCCATTGTCGTAGATTTGCTTAAGAGGGCACCAGTAACATCTCCATTCGCCCCTGTCCTGTACTAGTGTAGCCCAATGGCATCTACTTGCTCCAGGAACACAAGGAGCCTGAGATTTTAGCAGCTTCTTCTTAATTGTCCTTCCCAACCTTGCCGTATTGGGGGTTCTTTCAGCGTCAGGGGAATGAGGCCCGTTAATGTTACTTTTTTTGGCATATCGAATATATCACGAGCAGAGCCAACACTATTTTAGAACTGAGCACTGTATTAGGGAATGTTTCATGAGCCTTTATTTCACTGAGAATCCAATATATCCACCACCCTACAGATATATATGCCCTCCTTTTTTCTGGGAATTGTTCATTAATATTTTGATGCATATTTTATTTTATTTAGGTATTTAATCTTTATCTTGTGTATTTCACTAAGCATAATACCATTTATGCTCCATGTATTTTGTTGTAGCACGGTAGCACTGTCTTCCCGTTGTTCATCGATTTGCTCGAGTGGGCCCAGTAACGTCTCCATTGTGAGACTTCTTGTTACTGTGTTTGGCATATCGAATACATCACGGGGAGCTTGCCAGGCTTTGCTGTGTGGGCGAGATACTCTCAGTAGCTTGCCGGGCTCTCCGAGAGGGGCGGAGGAATAGAACCCAGGTCGGCCGCGTGCAAGGCAAACATTTTTTGGTTTGTTTTCATTTTGAGGGACCAACCGCAGCAGAACATATGGCTAACTTCTGGCAGTGCTTGGGGGACTGGTATGGGTGCCAGGGTCAAGCCTGGGTCGTGTGCAAGGCAAGTGCTGAGCCTGCAGTGTGATCTTTCTAGCTTCCAGAATTCTACCTTCAGAATTATGTTTTGTTAAGAGCTGAATTGTGCTTTGTATAGAAACAGATACGCCTGCATCTGTTTCTGTCCTATTTTCTTTATTCCTCAACCAGTTGGCATTTATATTGTTTCCAGTTCTTTTTTTCTCTCTCTTTTTTTTTCGTTTTGGGTCACACCCAGCGATGCTCAGGGGTTACTCCTGGCTCTCCACTCAGGAATTACTCTCAGGAATCACTTTTGTCGGTGCTTGGGGGACCACATGGAATGCTGGGAATCGAACCGGGTTGGCCGCATGCAAAGCAAAGGCCCTACCCGCTGTGCTATCGCTCCAGCTCGTTTCCAGTTCTTGACAGTTGTTATAGTGGTGTAACCTTGGTGGTGCATATACCTCTTGGTGTTTTTTAAAGAAGTATAGGCTGTGCCAGCAGTGCTCTGGACCACTCGTGGCTTGGTGCTTGGGGGATCTTGAGGACTGGGCTCAGACCCAGGGCTCCCACATGGGGAGAGCAGACGCTTTCATGCTCTGAGTGATCTCCTTGGCACCAGAATTAGTATTTTTGTGTTTTTCCCAGTAAATTCTCTGAAGTGGGATAATGGAGTCATTTGGAATTTCTCTTTTTAATGTTTTTTTCTTTTTTCTTTTGCTATTTGGACTATACCTGACTGTTGGCAGGACTGACTTATGGTTCTATGCTCAGGGATGTCGGGAAAGCCACGAGTGGTGCACAGAAGGGGCACCACGTGCAAAGGCCAGAGCCTTGACCGCTGTGCTGGGTCTCTCTCGCTCTCTGCCCAATTTTGGCCTGTTCCTTTTCCCAATTGTTGAGTTTTTTATTTTTAGGTTTTTTTTTTTTTTGGTATACTTTGGATATTAAGCCTTGTGAGACATATGCTGTGCAGATATATTCTCTTAGTAGGATGTCCTTTCATTCTAGTGCAAGTTATTTTGGTCTTCAGGTAGCCAATACTTAATGCATCGCAAATTTATTTTATTGTTTGTTTACTTTTGGTTTGGGGGCCACACCAGGTAAAGATGGGGGCTATTTCTCTTTGCTTTATTTCCTTATTTTGAGGGAGAGTGGGGACCACATTCAGCAGTGTACAGGACTTACCCCTGCACCTGTGCTCAGGTATCATTCCTGGTGGGGTTCAGGGACCAAATAGGGTGCTGGGGATTGAACTAGGGGTGGCTGCATGCAAGGCAAGTGCCCTGCCTGCTATACTATCTCTCTGGCCCACAGTCAGGTGTTTTGTTTTGTTTTTTTTTTCTTTTTGGGTCATACCCGGTGATGCTTGGGGGTTACTCCTGGCTTTGCACTCAGGAATCACTCTTGGCGGTGCTCAGGGGACCATATGGGATGCTGGGAATCAAATCCAGGTCGACTGTGTGCAAGGCAAACGCCCTACCTGCTGTGCTATTGCTCCAGCCCCCCACAGTCAGTTTTTTAAAGAGTATTAAAGTATTATGACGGTAGGACTTTTGTACTAGTTTTGTAGGCATTATTTTTGTTCAAGATATTAACTTACCCATTATACTTTGATTTCAGGTGGACCATTTGATTTGATGTCACGAAGAATCATTGCCGCAAATAGCAAAACAATAGCAGAAAGGATAGCTAAAGAAATTCAGATAATCCCTTTGCAAAGAGACGACGAAGATTAATTCGAGCAGCATCTCGTCCTCACAGTTGCTTCTTCCAGCTGTGCTCTGCACACTGCTGGTGTTCCACAAGCCAGACATCTGGCTCGGATGTATAGTCTGATTGATCTAAGTTAGTACAATCTTTCCAGTTTTAAAAGTTACAACTTCTATATTCTGTTGAGAGTAGGTATATAAGAATAAATGAAATATTTTGTTTTGTTGTTTTTAAAAATCTTATGTAAGAGTTGCATGTAAGAATGATCATTTTGGGAGAAATAACAGTTTATGAGATAAAAGGTATCTGTAAAATAGACCAAAGGTAGCAATTTTGGGTTTCTGAGAAGAATGAGCTTCTAATTTGTTGACTTACTGCTTCTGTATATAATCCTTTTTTTTATTAGAAAGTGAACCATATTTTTGCGTGTGATTTTTTGGCTACGATGGGTGGTTTTCAGTGGCTTCACGTGGTGTGAAGTATCAGACTGGGGCCTCGTACCCTTGCCTACTGCATACACGTATGTTAAGCACTTTGAAATATTTCATTGGCCCACTGCAAGTTTTAAAAATTTTAAATTTTAAGAAAAAAATTCTCTCTAGTTCCAAAAGCCATATTTAAATTTATAAAAAATTAGTGACTTCTTCCTCAAACACTATTTCTCTGTAGAAAAACTTACTTGTTAAAAAAAAATTCATCGAAAGAATGGAGGTAGCAATTACTGATAATAAGAAGTGCATGAAATAATTAACTCACCGTTCTGTATTTCACTTCAGGTTTTGAATTTCAGATCATCCACTTACCCATTTTATATTTCACATTCCTATTTCTTTTAACATTTCACTGTACCTTATTATTTCAGTTTTCAGACCACCAGATAGTATTCCCAGTTGTGACATTTCTGTTGATAATATATTTTCCAGAAGCAGCTACAGTGTTGTTTTTTTTTGGACTTCTTTAAATTCAAGTGTTTAAGAGAAGAAACTTTCACCCAGAACAAATGTTCTTCTCAGTTTTCTGCTATAATTAGATATCGCATGATGTTATGTTAACTTTAGGTCTTGTTTTGTGTTTGAGCCATACCCCACAGTACCCAGGGGCTCCTCCTGGTTCTGTGTCTGTGTGTGTGTGTGTGTGTGTGTGTGTGTGTGTGTGTGTGGGTGAGGGGGTCGTCACTCTTGGCAGTGCTTGGGGTTCATTTCCTGGGGATACAGTGCTGGGCCTCCAGCGTGCAAAGTGTGCTTTGCCTGTGCTGACCCTGTTGAATTCCCTCTCCCCAGCCCTTAGTTTTAATATTTAGGTTTTCAAGGTGGGCCTGCTGATCTGTTTGTACACAGGAAGCCTCGACCCTGGCAAATATACTGTTATTATTGAACTTAACTTTTTATTTATTTTGTTGTCACACAGTTCTATTTACTATTTAGTAGTTTTTAGCCTTGTCAGACTCAAAAAGAAAATTGTTTTGGTTTATAGATAAATTGAGAAAATGAATTTATTGCTAGCCTTTACCCTTGCCATGCAAACAGAGTGTTGATTTTTAATTTCAGTTCATGTTGGCATTGTTTTGCTAAAATGAAAAATGCTATGAAGTTTTAAAGATAAGGGGTTATGTAATTGTTGTGCATTAACTAACTCAGTAAATAGTTTGATCCTAAGATTTGAGCATTATAATTACTGTATTTGTACTGTTGTTCATGTGCAGTGAAAACATATACTGTATTCTAAGGTAGGGTTTTTTAAAATGAACTTATTTTAATTAATAAGAAATAAAATTTTAAATTAAAAATGTAATTGATATTTGCATGATTAAAGTTTTAATTTTAACTACTTAAAATAGTCTTAATATGGTTTTATTTATTTATTTATTTTTTGCTTTTTTGGGTCACCCTGGCAATGCACAGGGGTCAGTCCTGGCTCTGCACTCAGGAGTTACTCCTGGCGGTGCTCAGGGGACCATATGGGATGCTGGGACTCGAACCCGGGTCGGCCGCATGCAAAGCAAATGCTCTACCCGCTGTGCTGTCTCTCCAGCCCCCATGGTTTTATTTATTTTTTAAGTTAATTTTATTTGTATAAAGTTATTCACAGTATTTCATTACATTTAGTATTCTAACACCAATCCCACCATCATTACACCTTCCCATAACCTTATTTCAAACGTTTCCATCCCAGACCCCAAATCCTGCCTCCAAAGCAGAACCGAAATAATTAATTTTGCATTGCTTTTAACATGGTTTTAAAAGGATGTTTGTTAAGTTACAAAGCACATGAATAGTTTATGATTAAATGTATTTTGTTTTTCCCTAAATTAGTCTCATCTTTTCAGTCAGTTTATTTGTTTTAGGGCCACACATGGCAGTGCTCAGGCTTATCCCTGGCTCAGTGCTCAGGGGTCACTCCTGGTGGCACTTGAGTGACCCTACGTGCTGATGGGAATCTACCCTGGGCCAGCTGTGTGCAAAGCAAGTGCCCTAACCATTGTGCCCTCCCCCACTCCCCTTCTTTACATTTAAGTGAAACCAGATACTTGTGGCTGAAATTTCTGTAGACATTGGAAAGGAATGATTGGAAAATGAATTATTTTATAATTTTAAATTTTTTAAAGAACAACATAGATATGTTTGTTTAGAAAATAAAATGATAGAGATAACACATTGAAGCTGTGTAAATATTATTCAGAATATTAGATAATGGTGTATCAGATCATACAAGGATTGATTGGGAGAAATGAAACGAATTTATAGTCTCTATCAGTGCTTTTTATGGTGGTTGTTCAAGGGTTTTTTTTTTGTGTGTGTGTGGGGGGGTGTGTTTTATTTTGAGCCACACCTGACTGTGCTCAGGGCATGTTCTCTGATTTCAGAGATCTCTCCTGATACTTGGAGAGACCATATGTGGTCCCAGGATTGAACCTGGTTTGGTTGCATGCAAAGTAAGCACCTTAACTATCCCTCTGGCCCATCAATAAAAAATTTTGAATTATTTGACTCTATGGGCTGGAGTGATAGCACAACAGGTAGGGCTGTTTGCCTTGCATGCGGCTGACCTGGGTTCGATTCCTCCATCCCTCTCAGAAAGCCCGGCAAGCTACGGAGAGTATCCCACCCGCACGGCAGAGCCTGGCAAGCTCTCCGTGACATATTCTATATGCCAAAAAACAGTAACAACAAGTCTCACAATGGAGATGTTACTGGTGCCTGCTTGAGCAAATCAATTAACAATGGGAGGACAGTGCTCTACAGTGCTATTTGACTATATATAGGTTGTAAGCCAGTGTTAAAGCACCCAATATCATTTTCTTCACTTATTTTAATATATTTTTTCCATTGGATCACTGTACGATAGACCCTCGCAAAGTTGTTCATGATAAGAGCAGTTACAAAGCTTTCCTACATAAAAAAAAAAGTAATAGTAATTTCACTACAGTAGTAAAGATTTCAAAACATATAAATCTACCATGGTGGCAGCTCTAAGTAGTTGCTTAGAGAAGGAAGATACATGTGAAAATCACCATGAGAGCAGTTACAAAGCTTTCGGGTTTAAGTCTCGGTTCATACAAAGTTGTTCAGTTTATTCAAGAATTGCAATTTAATAATCTGTCACTAGTATGAATACATGAGAATAATTTTCAAAACAAGACGAACACAGGATGGAGAGATAGTATAGTGTTAAGGTACGTGCCTTACATGAGGCTGATCCTTGTTCTGTCTCTGGTACCACATACCCTTAGTACAGAGACATGCCCCAAAGCAAAAATTAAAAACAAGCTCAACTAGAGCAAAAGTTGTACCAAATACGCCGCCTCTGACATCAAGGATGTGAAGCTCCTGATGCATGTATCTCCCGGTGGTTCTGCCTGTTTTTCCATTCATTGATTGCAGAAGTCAAATCTTTTTCTTTTTTGTATGTTACCTCTCTGCAGTTCTTTCCCCTTGCTTATTCTGTTTTAAAAAGAGAATGTCCACTGGTTCAGCCCTTCTGGAAAACAGTATGGACGATTCTCAAAAAATTAGAAATTGAGCTCCCATTTGACCCAGCAATACCACTCCTGGGAATATATCCCAGAGAGGCAAAAATGTATAGTCGAAGTGACATCTGCACTTGTTTGTTCATTGCAGCACTCTTTACAATAGCCAGAAACTGGAAGAAACCTGAATGCCCAAGAACAGATGACTGGTTAAAGAAACTTTGGTACATCTACACAATGGAGTACTACGTAGCTGTTAGAAAAGATGAAGTCATGAAATTTACATACAAGTGGTACAATATGGAAAGTATCATGCTAAGCGAAATGAGTCAGAAAGAGAGGGATAGACATAGAAAGATTGCATTCATCTGGGGGATATAAAGTAACAAAGTATGAGATGAATACCCAAGAATAGCTGAGATCAGCACCAGGAGGATTACTCCATAACTTAGAGGCCAGCCGGGTATCCTAGAGGAAAGGGCAGTTCAGATAGAGAAGGGAGCACCAAATAAAGGATGTTTGGAGGATCCTCCCAGGAGGGGAGATGCATGTCGAAAGTAGACTATGGACTGAACATGTTTGCCACTCAATTCCTCTTTTGCAGACCACAACACCCAAAAGGAGAGAGAGATCACAGGGGATTGCCCTGCCACAGAGGCGGGGGGGGGGATGGGGGGATGGGGGTGGGGGGGATATTATCCATGGTGGTGGAAAATGGGCACTGGTGGAGGGATGGGTATCTGATCATTGTCTAATTGAAACCAAAGCACAAAAAATTGTAAATCTACAACTGTAAAAAAAAAATAATAAAATAAAGGGAAAAAAAAAGATAATCCTTTTATAATTTAGCTGCTTTTGCTTTTTCTTGCTGACTTTTCTTCCTCTGATGGATACCGCTGTAGGAACTGCTGGGTCAGTAATACTATTGGTCCAGATCTAGGGATCACGCCCCTTTTTTTCTGCATAGGAAAAAAATAGAAAAGTTTTCGTCTGCGCTTATTACACACTTCAGAATCAGAATGTAGGCAAAAGTTACAGTAGTATTCTTCGTGACTAAGATAGTTTCCTAAAATAAGACTGATAGCCTCTCAGTATCTATATTGCAAACCATAATGGCCCAAAGTAGAGAGAGTGTGGGGAATATTGTCTGCCATAGAGGCAGGGTGGGCGTGGGTTGGGATGTGGCAGGGGGGATACTGGGGACATTGGTGGTGGAAAATGTGCACTGGTGGAGAGAGGGGTGTTCGATCATTGTATGACTGAAACTCAAACAGGAAAGCTTTGTAACTGTATCTCACAGCGATTCAATAAAAAAAAAAAGTACACTGAGAGTCACTATACTGCAGAGAGCAGTGCTGTTTCTGCACAAATTTCTTGTTTCTAGGGGTCAGAGTAATGTTACATTGGGTGGGTCCTTGCCTTGTATGCAGCTGCCCGTGTCTTATCCATGGCACCTCAGCATCCGTATGGTACCCTAAGTCCCACCAGAAGTGATACCTAAGCACAGAATCAGAAGTAAACCCTGAACATTGCTACCCTAATTTTTTAGCTACTCTCCTGTATGTATCTCCTCCCTATCCTTAATAATTTAAGTAGCACTCGAACAGTATATTAAGTAGTCTTCTCAGAGAAGGAAGATACATGTGAAAATGACTACTTTTCATGTTTGGTGATAAAACTCACATGAAATATAGTCGTTTTAATGTGATTGATTTCTTAGGTGAACCTAACTATGACTTTAAAAGAGCTAACGCCATGGTAGATTTATAATGTTTTGAAATCTTTACTACTGTAGTGAAATTACTATTATTTCTTTCTTTCTTTCTTTTTTTTTTTTTGTAGGAGTACAGCTATTTATTCAGCCACTGATTAGGCTGATTGAATTGGGCATGAACTCCACCTTACTTTCTTTTCTTTTTTTTCATTTTTTATAATTTTGTTTATTGAATCACCATGAGAGCAGTTACAAAGCTTTCGGGTTTAAGTCTCGGTCATACGATGAAACGCCCATCCCTTCACCAGTGCCCATTCTCCACCACCAAAAACCCCAGTATAACCCCCATCCCACACCCTTCCCCCTACCTGTGGGGCAGATGATTTCCACATTACTCTCTACTTTGATTACATTCAATATTTTGACACCAGACCGACCATTATTATTTGGGATTTTACCCCAACACTCAAATCTGCTGAAAAGGAAACAGTAGACAATTTGTGTTCTATTGCTGGTTATGAATAACATATGATGTTGCGTGGCTGCAGTAGTGTCCGCACAATTTTGAAATTCCAAAATTTTAACACTTAAATCTGGAGGGATTTCCGCCAAAGCCTGCTGGGTTGTGAGATTTCTTCCTGAGTCTCTGGCATCATGGCCATTAAGCAGCTTGATCAGGAGCCAGAGAGGCCATTCGTGGGCGGTGACTCAGGGTCTTGTTGGAAAGGGGAAGAAAGGGGCAGCTCCACCCCCATCTCGTGAGACCCCACATGTCTCATCACTGAAGGCCCAAACCTGACTGTCCAATGGCCTCTGGAGGATGGCGGCCACCGAACCGCCAAGGGAGAGCAGGTGGAGGGACAGTACCCTTTCTCCCCTGGGGTGGCCTGGCGGCAGTAACCTACTGCGGGGTCCGGACGCATTTCTGCCAGAACCTGCTGGGTTCTGAGATTTGTTTCTGAGTCTCTGGGATCATGGTTGTTAAGCAGCTTGATCAGGAGCCAGAGAGGCCGTTTGTGGGCAGCAGCTCGGGGTCTTGTTGGGATGGGAAGGAAAGGGCTGGCTCCATCCCCATCCCATGAGACCCTGTGTGTCTCGTCATTGCAGGCCCAAACCTCACTGTCCAATGGCCTCTGGTAGATGACAGCCACTAAGCTGCCT